TATTCTCTTTCTTTACCGAGAGCAAAAGAAAGTGATGATCTTATATCTAATACAAAACCACCAATAGTACCAAGAAACAAACGAAAAAATAACTAAAACAACAAATAGAACAAAGGAGAATTTTTAAAGAAAACAATAAAGAGGGTACAATAAAATATAAAAAAAAAAATCAAAGAGAAAAGCCCGAGGGCCGACAAAGGGGGAACTATCTCTATCAAGAAGCAGTACAAATAAAACGAAAGAAAAAGGGAAAAGTATACTATTATAACTCATGTTAAGTTTAAGAAAAAATTTTAAACAACTGCAACATTTGTATATCTCGACTATAAAAACTAACAACTTATTATCCAACTACTAGCCATCTCCGGATGCCTTTTCTGCCAGAAACCCAATCCTAGTCACGTGAAAATCCCATAACCATAGACTATGGTCATGTGAAAGTCTCATAACCATAGACTATGTCGCGTACCGTGTCTACCAATAAACAAAACACATGGTTACATTCCTGGGTACATCTGAATTTGGGAGGTAAACAATGCCAATCTTTTGGAGAGGGTAAGCCAAATCACCCACTTTTTGTTGAAAATTTTGGAGAAAAACTGGCCAAGTGAAAAACACCTAGGAAAAGACCACTTGCACCCAAGGAAAGTAGTTACATCTATGTAAAAACTCAACAACTCCTAAACCTTCTTCCAGAAAAGGGGTGGAGCACCCGTACTCTCTTGTCAGTAAGTGATAAACTCTGGGCTTGTCGGCAAGTAGCATATGAGAACTACTTCTAAACGACAAGTGCTGTGCAAGCGGTGAGTAATAAACTCTGAAGAAGTTAGCAGGTAGCATATGAAAACTACCTCTAAATAACAACTGCCGACTTATAGCCAAGTATGCACTCTGTTTTTACTATATGCTATTGTGTTTTTTACAAAAAATGTAGTTGGATTTTTTGGTAAAGATGATCGTCAGAAAGAGTTTTGCAAATATAATGTATATTATTTATTATTATTATTAAATAAAATATTTACTTAGTATTTTAATATACCAAGTAGATTTTTAATAAAGTAAAAAATATAGATTGTTCTAGAAAAAAAGTAAAAAGCATATTGAAAAAAATTCTGCTCAATTTTTTTTAACATATTCTTATTGTTTGATTTCAAAAAACAACTTCTTGAATATTTAGAAACTAAATTTAAAGATAATATTAGTAATTATATTATTGCTAATGAACCCCATCAAAATGGTGGATTACATAAGTATATATATTTAAAATTTGAAAAAAAAATTCATATTTCTAATAAGAATTTTTTTTGATATTAAAATAAATAATATTGTATATCATCCAAATATTCAAAGAGTGCGATCTACAAATTCTGTTATAGATTATATTACCAAATATGGTGATTTTATATCAAAATATCCATTAGAAAAATTAAATGTTGTTGAAGCTTATATTTTAAACAAAGTTAAAAAAGGGGAATATGTTAAAAATAGTTTATTAGCTAAAGAATTTCCTAAAATGTATATTATTTATGGATGACGATTATTAGATTGGAAAGTAAAAATTAAAAAACAATATTATAAACTTTATAGAAAATCTTTTGTTGAAATTCATTATGGAAATAAAAATTGTAGTAAATCAACATATTTGAAAAATTACATTATAACAATAAAGATAAATATTATCTTGATGATCGTTGATTTAATGGCTATGATGGTGAATCAATATTAGTTATTGATGAGTTAACTGGATCTCAGTTAATATTTTTAACATTTTTAAAAATTTTGTCTAGTGAATAACAATGCTTTGATGTAAAAAGAACAAAGGTTTTAAATCAAGTTAAACATGTGATTATAACAACTAATTATAAGCCTGATGAACTTTATCAAGAAGCACATTATAACAAACAACAATTGTCTTGGTGAATAGATGTGATTTGGCATTATAAAAAAACAACAAATGAATTTTCTAAAAGATATTGTGAACAAAATCCATATACTAATCAATTACATCATAAATATTTAAAAACATAATTTTTTTAAAGAAAATTGGGCAATTTAAAATTAAAAAATTGAAGAAAAAATAAGTCTTGACCACTTTAGTAGGTTTAGGTCGCAGATAATTAGCTTTAGCTTTTAGTCTGAGCTCCCATTTTTGTATGTAATTTATAAATACTTGTTATTATACGAATTTAGTTTTTATATAGTTTCTATATAATTACTTATATAAATTACCTAATAAAGATATGAGCAAGGCCTCACCTTAACACTAAAAAAAAAAAAAATTGAAGAAAAAATCTTTCATAAAAATTATACAATTATAAACTATGATAATAAATTCCAAGGAGGAAAATTAAATATTGATGATTTACTAATTAAAGAAATAGATGAAATATTAAATTCTAAAGTTGAATTAAACAAAGAAATTGAAATTAGAAATAATATTGAATCTATTTATGATTCTGATTTAAATTCTGATGATTCAACAGAAACTCAAAGAAGAAAAAAAAGGAAAATTAAACAAATTGAAATTAGCAAAGAATCTATTCATAATTGAAAAAATAAAGATAATTCTATTTGGCTAGGGTTTAAATATCTTTTAAAAAAATAAATATTTAATTTGAATAGATTTTTATATATTCTCATTATTATTTTTAAAATAAATTTATTTATAAATTCAATTTAAAATTCTTTTATCTTAAAATATATAAATACTAGTTAAAATTTTGGGAAAATTACATATCGGGGCCCAAATTTGAAAATAATTATGAATGAGGGCCTAACTTAAAAATATTTATTTATAAGGGCC